AGATAGGGAGAGGGAGGAGAGTGGGTAATTAGGGTTTGTGAAATTGTGAATTGGATTATATATATTTAATAAATATATTTAGAGCTTGTTTGAGAGGAATTTAAATCCAATTAAAATTGAAAATATAACGGTTATTGGATCTCACTCGTCTAATAAAAGTCAACAATAACCGTTAATTTTTCAATTTTAGAAAAAATTTGGATTTTCATGCAACGAATTTTATTGTAAGAATATATAACTGAAAATGAGGGTGTGTTTGAGTTACATTATTTTGGAATAGTAGATTGATGGAGAATGAGTGGTTGTAAAAGAAAGAAAAATTATTGATATGGTGAAAAATATTATTTTATTGAAAAATGTGTGGTTGAAAATAAGTAGAAGATTGAAAATAAAAATTTTAATGTAAATCAAACAGGGGCTCAGTTTGAACTTTGAACAAAAATGTTTTGTTTTAATGGTTGTCAAGCAAGAACTTATTAGGGGTACTTGTGTTAGATGGAATGGAATTAAACCCTTTTGTCCCTTTATTCTCTTGAAAATATTGTTGGAAATTAAAAATTCATATTCAAAAAATAATAATAATAGTAAATATCATGTTTTCAAGGGTTGTAATAACCGTGTATGTAATATTCTCGTGTTGATGGGCAACTGTTGGTGATAATGGACCGGCGATAATGGTGAAACAATTTTAAGTTACAGTTGTAAATAATTATTAAGAGTCTATTCGAGCCTAATTTTTTCTTAAAAATACATTTTGAAATAGTAGGTTGATGAAAGATGTGCGGTTGAAAATAAAGAAAAATTTTAGATTTGTGTATAATATTATTTTATTGAAAAATGTATAATTGAAGAGAAGATAAATAACAATGTATTTTGAAAATAATGAGGATCAAATATGACTAAATATAAGGTTCTCAAAATTCGCTGTTAAAAATTTTAAACTAGCAAAAACAAGAGATTGAAATTACACCTAATGTTTGAAATTGGACATGAGATATTCTATAGCATTTTCCTCTATGTTATTGTTCAATGTTCGTATTCATACCATTCATCGAACCAAAATCTATCACA